CCGAGGTCTCTCTGTTCAGCGACGCTCCCCCAGGACCTTCCCGTGAAGTGGATAAGTCCTGCCCCGATGTGCCTTTCCCCAAAATGCAGCGTCTCACATTTATCTAAGGCAAATGTACCAAACACTTTCTTCACTTCTCTGTGTTCACCCACAGAAGCACAAAGATCTTACTCACGGGGATATTGGGATGATCTCCTGACCAGCATCATTTTATTTTACCAGCTTTATAATGTTTCAGTTTCAGTAATTTCTTGTTCATAACTTCTGCTGAAACTCCTGAAGTTGTACTGTTTTGAATATTTGATTACATGGCCAAATTGCTTAATTTCTCCGAACCATCTAATTCCAGTTCTCAACCATGAACAAGACGATAGCTACTTCATTGTCAACAAATGTGTTTTTAATCAATGGCAAGCTGTAGACAAGGTTCATCGCTAATTTATAACTCGGTAACTTAAACTCTGCAGACTTTTTATCGAAATCCTCACACACAAACGCACAAAGAGACGAGACGTAGATGTAGTGGGTCAGGAAGGAAATTGAAGGCAAGGAACACAGTCCTGACACCAGCCTAGATCAATGATGTGATTCCTTGCTAATGACAGGGCTGCGTGTGTGTGTGTGTGTGTGTCTGTGTGTCTGTGTGTGTGCCTGTGAGTGTGTCTGTGTGTGTGTCAGCATGTGTGTGTGTGTGCGTCTGTGTGTGTGTGTGCCTGTGTGCCTGTGCATGTGTCTGTGTGTGTGTGTGCATGTGTCTGTGCCTGTATGTGTGTGCATTTGCGTGTGCGTGTGTGTGTGTGTGTGTAAGTGTGCCTGTGCATGTGTCTGCATGTGTCTGTGTGTCTGTGTCTGTGTGTGTGTCTGTGTCTGTGCATGTGTGTGTGTGTGTGTTTGTGTCTCTGTGTGTGTGAATGTGTGTCTGCGTGTATGAGTGTGTGTGTGTGTGTCTGTCTGTCTGTGTGTGTGTGTGTGTGTGTGTGTGTGCATGTGTCTGTCTGTGTGCGTGTGTCTGTGTGTGTGTCTGTGCGTGTGTGTGTGTGTGTCTTTGTGTCTCTGTGTGTGTCTCTGTGTGTGCGAATGTGTGTCTGTGTGTATGTGTGTGTGTGTGTGAGTGTGTGTGTGTGAGTGTGTGAGTGTGTGTGTGAGAAAGTGTGTGACTGTGTGTGTGCGTGCGTGTGTGTGTGAGTGTGTGAGTGTGTGTGTGTGTGTGAGAGTGTGAGTGTGTGTGTGCGTGTGTGCGTGTGTGTATGAGTGTGTGAGTGTGAGTGTGCTGGTGCGTGTGTGAGTGTGAGTGTGTGTGTGCGCGCGTGCGTCTCACCCCTTCCCTTTTCAAGGTGGGATTGGCAGAGGAGGCAAGTTATAGAGAAAGGGGAGGGCGAGTTGCTAGACACAGAAGGGAGACAGAGACAGTGACAGAGAGAGAGAGAGGAGTAGAGAGACAGAAAGTGAGAGAAGATGGAGAGACAGAAAGAGAGAGACAGACAGAAGGAGAGAGACAGACAGAAAGACAGAGACAGACAGAAGGAGAGAGACAGACAGAAAGAGAGAGACAGACAGAAAGAGAGAGAGGCAAACGACAGAGAAAGGTAGAGAGAGAATTAGAACCTTTAGGACCGAGATGAGGAGGAATTTCTTCATCCAGAGGACGGTGAGTCTGTGGAACTCACTGATGTTGAGTGTTTTGGAGGCCAAGTCATTGAGCGTCTTTAAGACAGAGATAGTCAGGTTGGTGAGGAGATCAAGGGTTTACGAGGAGAATGGGGTTTGGGAGAATGGTGGAACACACCTGATGGGCCGAACTGCCTAATTCTGCTCTGGAATTTTTGGATTTCTCTACAGTCTTGGTCACCCAGGGCAGCTCTCAATTTCCTTCATCGAATTCAAACTCCATCAGGGATACTGATGGGATTGAGTGTATCCTGTGGCCATTCTCCTGGGGGCTCCCCCCCTGTATTACTAGCCCAGTGCCATCACCCACGTCTGTTCCAAACAGTGCCCCGGTTTCATATCTGTGTCTGGGCTGATAGGGGGGCTCTCTCTCCCCTGAGAGGAATCGAATACAAGAGGAGGGAGCTTATGCTGAGTTATTACAGGCTCCCAGAGTCACTGCAGATGGAGCACTGTGGACAAGGAAGGAGGTCAATGCATTGAAGACAGTTCTGGGAATGTAATCCCTGAAAGGTAAGGAAAGGTATTGCATTTCAGTAAAAACAGGATTACACAGGTTAATGATCGGGCCTTGGGGTGGTGTTGTGGAACAGAGAGACCTGGGGGCTCAGGGACATAATCCTTTGAAGTTAGCGTCACAGGTAGACAGGGTGGGGAAGAAGGCGTTTGGCACACTTGCCTTCATCGCTCAAACCCTTTGAGTGTAGGAGTTGGGGACGTCACGTTGAGGTTGTACAGGACGTTGGTGAGGCCTCTTCTGGAGCACTGTGTCCAGTTCTGGTCGCCCTGTTATAGGAAGGGTATGATTAAACTGGATAGGGTTCGGGAGAGATTTACCAGGATGTTGCCGGGAATGGAGGGTTTGAGTTAAAGGGAGAGGCTGGGACTTTTTTCACTGGAGCGTAGGACAGTGACAGGCTGACGTTATAGAGGTTTATAAAATAATGAGGGGTATAGACAGAGTTAATGACAGGTTTCGTTTCCCTCAGGGTGGGGTTTTCAAGACTAAGGCGTACATTTTTAAGGTGAGAGGAGAGAGATTTAAAAAAAGACGTAAACAGCAGACCTTTTACACAAGAAGTTGGTTCATGTGTGGAATGAGGAAGTGGTGGATGTGGGTACAGTTACAACATTTAAAAGACATTTGGATAAGTATATGGATAGGAAAGGTTTGGAGCGATAGGGGCCAGGAGCAGGCAGGTGTGGGACTAGTTTAGTTTGGGATTATGGGTCAGCACAGACTGGTTGGGCCGAAGGGCCTGTTTCCGTGCTGTATGGCTCTATAACTCAATGATAGGCCAGGTCTATATTCCCTGGAGCGTCGGAGGCTGAGGGGGGGACCTTACAGAGGTTTATAAAATCATTAGGGGCATGGATAGGGTGAATAGACGAGGTCTTTTCCCCCAGGGGTAGGGGAGTCCCAAACTAGAGGGGCAAAGGTTTAAGGTGAGAGGGGGAAAGGGCCCTGAGAGGCAACTTTTTCACGCAGAGGGTGGTGCGTGTGTGGAACGAGCTGCCAGAGGAAGTGGTGGAGGCTGGTACAATGACACCACTTAAAAGGCATCTGGATGGGGACATGGATAGGAAGGGGTTAGAGGGATATGGGCCAAATGCTGGCAAATGGGACTGGATTAATTTAGGATTTCTGGGTCAGCACGGACCAAAGGGTCTGTTTCCACGCTGTAAAACATCTAAGATCCTGATGGGGTCAGGGAGAGATGCAGAGAGAGGGATTGGGGGTCCAGGAGGCCAGGAGCATGTTGGGGAATCAGATGGTTACGCAAGGTGGGGAGGGGGGTGGTCACTGCAGGGGGTTGGGGTTGGGGTTGGTGGCACTGCGTGAGCTAGTACAGACGACGGCGGGCAGAACAGCCTCCCTTTCAGCGTCACGGCGATAATCCCTCGGTCCATGCCCTGCCCGCAGAGGGCCCAGCCTCTCCCTCCAACTGGGGTCCTGAGGTCAAAATAAGATGACGTCAGGATTGGCGATTTTCCGGGGAGGGGGGCACTACAGTCTGTCTCCCCCACGCTCCCCCCTCCCCGACCTCCCCACTTCCCCCACATTTCCCATCGCATTCCCCAGCCTCCTCCCTCAGTGAGGGGCATGGAGGAGCAGAGGGTATTTGGGTGCAGCAGTGGGATATATACAGGGGCAATGGGGTAAATAGATAGGGCAGTGGGGTATATGGGGGCTGTGGGGTAAATAGAGGGGTATATGGGGGCAGTGGGGTAAATAGAGAGGCAGTGGGGTATATGGGGGGTGTGGGTTATGTAGAGGGACAATGGAGTAAGTAGCGCAGTGGGGTAAATAGACGGCAGTGGGGTAAATAGACAGGGCAGTGGGGTAAATAGGGGCTGTGGGGTA